ACACCAGGCCTAAGGCTGTGCCAGACGACCCGGGTCCTCAATATACACAACAGATCACTTGAGTCTGGGTCTGCGACCGGTGGCTTGTCTCTGATTAACAGACTTCCTTACCTTAACTCAAAACATTCCAAGTCTTTAGACACAGCTTCATTTCTTTAACCAATTACAAATCAAAGTCTTTAAATCCACCTATAACCTGTAAGCCACTCTTCGAGATGTCCCACCTTTTCGGGCTAAACCAATGTACGCCTTCCAAGTACTGATTTATGACTTTATGTATAATTCCTGTCTCCCTGAAATGTACAAAACCAAACTGTAACCCAACCACAGCAGTCCACTTGCTAAAGCCTTCTTGGGCCTGGCCCCGGGACCATGGTCGTCAAATTTGGCTCAGAATAAACCTCTTAAAATAATTTAACGAAGTTGGCCTCCTTTCCAATGAAAAACAAATAAAAAAACAAATCCTAAAAAGTGAAAAGAATTAACCTAAAAAGAAAACCCCAAAAAGAAAAAGCAAAAAAAAGAAAAAAAACAATCCCAATTAAAAAAAAAACAAAAACTTCAGTTACAAAATGTTACATTATGTATTGGAGGGGACAGAAATGGATACAATTAACATTATAAGAAATGTAGAACTCCAGATCTCCTAGGATGCTCAAAATGTGGGGAGAATTTATTTTAATCTGACATATTAATCTTTATCTCTTGTGGGTTATATGCAAGTTTTATAACAGTATACCTCACTTTTACCAGATCTTTTACTCACCTCTTTCTGACGACCTACAAACCTAATCTTCCTGTAGTCTTTATCATCATAAACCTGGGGAGGAAGGAAAAAGACCATATGTAATTTTTACAGCCTTATTCTGAATGTGGTCACTTAAAAATCAATCGTAAATATACAAGAAAGTGTTTTTCTTAACTTTTAGGCCATTGATAATTACTCAAACACACGAGGGGCACACTGTGTTGCCAGGGGCATTTTTCAGCAAGATACCTAGGACGACAGGGGGTGATAACATGAACCGGAGAACAAAGTCTGGGGTGGCACTGAGAGGTAGCCCGGGGAGGCGCAGCGGAAAAGAAGAGGCAAGTCGGGACGAAGAAGGCGGACCGAGGGAGAGGAGGGACATCCTGACCGAGGAGAGCCACCTCCTTTCACGCACGGCCCCGCCAGGGCACGTCTTAGCGTTGGCAGACACGTACCTTCCGCCTCACGACTGCGGTGTCGCACTGTTTTTGTGCTCTGTCCCCTCGGGTTATTAAAGTTTATTACCAACATGGCACAATCTCAAAGATGCCGGGTCCAGAGAACCGGTGGGACAGACCGCCGGCGGGGAGCCCGCTGCCCCCGGGGACGCCAGGCTCGGCGTGCGCGCGCTCTGCGCTGGGATCCCGCCAGGCGACCCGCCGCTGCCGCCCCGACAGGCGGGGTCCACGGGGTGGGCGACCCGCCGGAGTGACACTGCCACGGAGGCACAGGCTGACCGCCACCCGGCCCCCCAACTCGCCCCTTCCGCCGCCCGGCGTCCCACGCCCCGCGGCCGTTACCTGGCCGGTGTGCGTGATCTTCTCCCCAGTCGGCGACGTCCGCACCGCGAAACACCTGGCGCCCCAGGGCAAGCTCCGCGCCCCCGCGCCGGCCCGGCCCAGCAGCCGGCAGAAGGTCACCGCCGCCGCCATCGTTTTGTGCGGCTGAACCTTGACCCGGCGCGACGAGTCTCCGAGCGCCGACGCATGCGCACTACTTCCGGCGGCGCTCGCGCTCCGGGACTTATTTCGCCCTGGAGAGGCGCGCCGGCGGGTGCGCACGCGCGGCACGGCGCGTACTCGGGCGGGGCTCGGCGCACAAGGTGGGCGACTGCGCAATCTTCCGCGCCCGGTGGTTGCCAGGGATGATTATGAGGGCAAGGCAGGGGAGGAGATAAACGGAAGCGACACTGTGTATATTCTTATGGTAATCGTTAATCACGGGAAGTTTAAATATCAAATGATTTGTTGGTGAAGGGGCCGATTGCTAAGCGGAAGAAACTGGAAGTGCAAGTTCTAAGACGCCCGCATTCCCGTGTGTGATCGCGGGTTTGGGGAATTTCCGCAACACAGCCCTTGTGAAGCGACCACTAAAACTACGGTTGCTCTGTCCAGCCTGCAGGTACAGCTTCCAAAAGGCTCGTGTGTACCGCCGACGGGTGCAGTCCCCGCCTGCAGCCCAGCCCCACCTGGGTGCAGTCCCCGCGAGACGTTCCAGCACCACCTGGGTCCAGTCCCCGCCTGACGTTCCAGCGTCTGCCTTATCTTTCCCGTGGCCCGAGCCTGAGAACCAGGTGGCTCCAAGAACAAGACTCTGGAGATGGACGGGAGGCCAGAGAGGTGACACAGAAGAGGGGAAAGGCGACAGGAAACAATGCACAAAAAGCCCTCCTGACGACGGAAAGATGTCCCAACAGACTGGCGGGCAGAGGCAGATTTGTCCAGAGCCCGCCCCGCGTTCGCCTGGTCAGGTGCAGAAGCGGGCACTGAGCTAGCAACGTGCAAGGAGCGAGGGTAGATGCAGCCAGGCGTGCAACTCACTTCGACATCCACAGAAAGTAAGATGGAAGGGTTCTCAGGTGGATAGATACCTGAAACGCAAGTGTGCAGTCTAGGCCCTGGGTACGTGGGTGTTCGCTGTAAAATGCTTGCCGGTCTTCCTGCATGTTTGATCTTTTCGGTAACGGAGAAGGAAAAAAGATAGTTTGTAACCAGATGGGACCATTGTCTATTTCCACTCGTTTCCATGAGTCAGTTGTGAAGGAAAACAAAATCCCAGGCACTTTGCCAACTGAACAGACCCTTCGGCCAAGGTGACCCCAGAAAAACCTTAAAACCGAGGTCCTGGGCCGGGCGCGGTGGCTCACGCCTGTAATCCTAGCACTCTGGGAGGCCGAGGCGGGCGGATCGTTCTGAGCTCAGGAGTTCGAGACCAGCCTGAGCAAGAGCAAGACCCCCAAAAAATGGAAAGAAATTAATTGGACAGCTAAAAATATATGTAGAAAAAATTAGCCGGGCATGGTGGCGCATGCCTGTAGTCCCAGCTACTCGGGAGGCTGAGGCAGGAGGATCGCTTGAGCCCAGGAGTTTGAGGTTGCTGAGAGCTAGGCTGACGCCACGGCACTCGCCCCAGGCAAGAGAGTGAGACTCTGTCTCAAAAAAAAAAAAAAAAAAACACCGAGGTCCTGGCCCTGAAGGGAAGGGGACAGGACAGGCCTCCTTATCCCCCTCCCTCTGGGAGTTTAGACTCGACCACTGACCAGCATGAATGTTAAAACAGAGATCACAAACTGACAAAACGGACTCTTTCTTGGTGACTGTAACATACTAAATTATTAACAGGACCAGAGGCCACGCAGGGCAAAGGCCAAATCACGGCAGTGCATCAATTTCGCGAACAGATCACTCGAGTCAGTATCTTGTGGCTCGTCCCCAACCCCTGCACAGGCCGCATCGCCGCCCGAGCGCCTCCCTGCGTGGAAACACCGGCCGCAGGGCGGGCGGGCAGCGGGGAGCCAGCAAAGGAGGCTCCGTCGTGTTTGCAGCCGCTCCTCACCCCGCACACCGCCTGGGCCCCGACTGCCCTGGAACCCTTGTAGAACTGTCCTCCATGAGACCCGTCCCTGGCGCCACAGGGGTCGGGGGCCGCTGCTCTAACGGACTCCTTAACTCCAAACGTCCCCCGCCTCTGGATAAAGCTTCGCGTCTTTAACCAACTGCAAACCGAAGACTCTTTAAACCCACCCATAACCTGCGAGCCCCACTTGGTCCGCCCTTTGGGGCCAAGTATTGACTTAGGACGTTGTTTGCAATTCCTGTCTCTAAAACGTACGAAGCCGAACCGACCGGCCACCTGGGACCGCTTACGCAGGCGCCCTGGCCCTGGCCGTGGCTCCCTGGCCGGGCCGCGTGCTCGGCTCAAGATAAACTGTTTAATTACCTCACAGCGTTGGGGCTTTCCCGTTACTCTGCGTTTCTCCCAAGACGTACACTTAAAAACTGCTATTTGTCCGTCTGTCTAGGGTCTAATTGGTTGACTCTTTTTCCACCTGGATACCCATTTCCCTTCCCACCTTTGCATCCCCTCCCCCACCATCTCGGCGACCGGCCGGGCGGGACGGGTGGCGCGACTTCCGGCGCCAGCGCGCATGCGCCCCGGGCTCTGCGCCACGCGAGGCCCCCGCCGCCATCTTTCTTCCTGGCCGCGGCGTCCCTGCCCCAGTGCGCAGGCGCAGAGCGGCGCTGCGCAGCCAGCCGGGAACCTTCTTGCCAGGTCGGGGTTCCGGGAGTCGGGGTTGCGGGGCCGCGCGGCGGCGAGGGTGGGGGAGCCGGGGTCGGGCGGGCCGTGGGCCGCGGTGGGGACCCCGGGTGGGCCGTGGGCCGGGAAGGTCGTGTCGCGTGGACTCGGGTCCCTGCGCGGCGGACGGGGCGGTTCTGGGCGCGGGACCCAAGTGACCGCCGTCCTCCGCCCCGCAGGCCAGGCCGCGGCATGGTGACCCTCCTCTTGCGGGCGGCGGCGGCGGCCGTGCTCCCCCTGCTCCGGCCCGGGCCCCGCGCCGCGTTCCCGCCGGCCTTCTCCTCGCTCCTGGCCGGGGCCCCCCGGGGCGCGCTGCGGCCCCCGCTCTGGGCCGGCCCCGCGTCCTGCCTGCAGCCTGCGCTGGGCTTCAAGACCAAGGGCGTGCTCCGGAAGCGCTGCAAGGACTGCTACCTGGTGAAGAGGCGGGGCCGGTGGTTCATCTACTGCAAGACCCACCCCAGGCACAAGCAGAGGCAGATGTAGCCCCCGCAGAGTGACGCGCAGACTGTCGCCGCGTCCTTGCCTTGGGAAGTGGCTTCACGGATCCAGAGAATTGCGACGCCAGAGACAGGAGGATGCGACTCGTAGCAGGCGCCCTCAGTGTTACCCACTACTCTTTTCGGCTCTGATATGTCTTCATGATTCGTTTACCATTAAAGAGGTTTTTGATAAAAGTAAATACACCTTCTGAATGGCTTAGTCCTCCCTTCCTGATCTCTGGCTGCAGGCAGGACCTGGTGAGGGCAGGGCAGGAGTTCCTTACCTCTGTGTGAGGATACCTGGGGCCTCTGGGAAGAAATGGTGAGTGTCTGGGTCTCCTCTGCCGAATGACAATCCAGGCCAAGCTTAGGGGCTTAAGTCAACAATTTACATTGTTCACACTTTGTGAGGAGTTGGGGAAGGGCTCAGCTGAGCGGCTCGTGGTCTACATGGCACTGGCTGCAGGATGCACCCCCACGATGGCCTGCGCTGCTGGCTCCACGTGGCGCCTACTGCAGGGCAGCTCCAGGCGCAGCAGGCTGTGGCTGCTCACAGGAGCTTCCCCAGAGACCCAGGAGGGTGCTGCAAGGCTTCCTGTGACTCGGTCTCAGACATTTCAGAAGGTCATTCTGCTGCACTCTTGGTCCTGCAGTTACCTTGAATGAACCCAGACTGGAGGGAGCAGCCTCTTGCTGGGGGACGGCCACACCTGCACTCCTGGGAATGACTCGTGGTGGGGGCCTGCCTGGGGGCTGCTCCCATGGGGAGGGGAGATGGGGCGGTTGGCCCTGCCCTGGTCACCAGGACCAGGAATTGGGCAACCCCCACGCCTTGGGCTAGCAGGAGCGTGCTCTCAGGAGGCTGTGTCAGTGTACCACCTGGGCATCCTGTCTCAGTCTGGGCTGCCCTAACAAAGCGCCTCAGATGGGGTTTAGTCAACAGATTTTCCCTCAGTCCTGGAGGCTGGAAGTCAGATCGAGGTGTGTGCAGGGCTGGCTGCTCCTTTGGCGTGTGGACAGCTGCCTCCTCCCTGTGTCCTCACAGGGTTGTCGCCCTGTGCGTCTGTGTCCTCATCTCCTCTCACAAAGACGCCTGTCGTGTTGGCTTAGGAGCCACCCCAATGACCTTAGTCTTCCCTGATTACCTCGCTAAAGACCCTGTCTCTAAATACAGTCCTGAGGGTAGGACTTCAACTCATGGATTTGGGGGTGGGGAGATGCAGTGCGGCCCAGAGCAAACGCTCAGATGTAGGGGTGATTTCTCACATGTCCCCTTTCCTCTGGGCCAGGGAGACCTCTCCATCTCTCCAGAAAGGAATTTCCAAAACTGAGACCTACACAAGCCTAGCACAGGAGAATAATCCTTCCCTGCTGGATGGACAGACAGCCATGGCCACAGCAGCTCTCACCTGAGTTTTGCAGCCTGCAGGTGTCTGGCCCAGGTACAGAGGGTGGAGGGGAAGGAACTGGAGCCCTGTGAAGAGCCTGCTGCTGCCCAGCAGGAGGGAAGCCCCCGCCAGCTGTTCTTGAGTGAGGAGTTGCGGATGCACAAAAGTGTGCCACGTGGGTCCTGAAAGTGAGTGTCAGAAGCCAGATCCTACCAGGATATCTGTGCACCTGCCTGAGAATGCCCCGGCCAGAGAGAGGGAGTTCGCTCAAGGCACACGTGTGTGGTGTGTGCACATACGTAAGCACGTGTGCATGTGGAGCTCCGCAGGGGACCTGGCTATGGGCCACATGCCTGGTGCCTAAGTAAGCATCTTTCCTCTCTGTCGCCTGCCCTGCCTTAGGTGCAGCCGGCCCTGCGACACTGCAGCACGAGGCGGGGGCACCACAGGATACGTTTTATTGGATTGAGCTGCGTTCAGGGGAATCTAAATGTTACAAGACTCATAATTACACACCAAGGCCTCCATCCCGGAACGAGCGTGGCAGAGCTCTGTGGCGTCAGGCCAGGGCGTCTCGGCCTCAGCACTGCTGACATTTGGGACCATCCTGGGCCCTGCAGGCGCGGCACCCCCCACCCCAGGGCCAAACAGAAATCTCCAGACACTGCCAAATGCCCTGGGGGGGCAGTATGTTTTCCCCACGGCGACGTAGGATTTATGTTCCCTGTCCTAAAGGGGCGCGGCGCGTGGTAAGGCTGGAGATGTAGTTGATCCGTCTGGGAGGCGACATCAGGAGTCGGGGGTTGGGGGTTCGTGGTGGGGAGAATCGGAGGGAGGAGAGCTTCTCCGGCACAGAGTGGGAGGGCACCGGGTGCCACCCTGCTACGTCCCGCAGCGCCAGTGGAACGTGCCTCGGTTGTCCCAGCAGGGGAAGAGGACGTTGGGCCATTTATCCGCAGGTTCTCGTGGTTTGAAGGTCGCCCCAGGGGCCAGGAGAAAGCCGTCCTGCGGAAGCACCTCTGCGAGTGAAGACACGCGAGCTTGGAGGCCCGTGACGGTGGAGAGAGACTCCGTTCCTCTGAGCCGACTCTGTTCACACCTCGGGGCTGGGCCTTGGGCGGAAGCTTCCATGGAGGCCTCCTGTTTAGAAGGGGGCTGATGACTACTGGGTCTCCCCACGGGGTTCTCGAGAACCCAAAGGCCTGGGTCTGAATGTTTGTGTCCCCCGACATTCACATGTTGAAACCCAGTCCCCAGTGTGAGGATTTGGAAGTGGGGTGATCAGTTGTGCAGGTGGCACCTCACGATGGGGTTCGTGCCCTTACAAAAGGGACCCCGGAGCTCTCTGTGCCGTCCACCATGTGAGGACACTGCAGGAAGGGCTCGCCCATGAGCCAGGAAGCAGGGCCCCCGCCAGCCATGGAGCCTGCTGGCTCCTGGACCTTGGACTTCCGGCCTCCAGGTGTTTATCGGGCACCAGGTCTGTGGGATTTTATCATCGCAGCCGAACAGACTGCGACCCGGGCTGAGGGCAGAGCTTGGCCACGTTTGTGTCCCAGCATCCACCACGGGCCTGGCCTGCAGTGTTCCCCCAGCAGTGAACATGGAGCTGACCGGTCACTCCTGCCCGTGGACAGGCCGCCCCCACCCCCCTGCCTCGCTCAGAGCCACCCGGCCCCCGAGGCCAAACCCACAACTCAACCCTGACCCCCGCCAAGGGAACCCTCACACCTCTGGCACTGGAGTGAGGGCCGAGTATGAGGCTGGATTTGTCTGGAATAAATGTCCCGTGATGGGCAGATGGCTGGGTCCACTGTGGCACAGGCCTCCCAGGACAGCCACGCGGCTCTCAGACAAAGGGCACGCCCCCCGCCCCAGCTGTCTCAGCACTGCAGCCAAGACATATTCCTGAATATTAAATGTACGGAGAAAGCCGTGCAGCAGTGTGCAATGTATGTTTTCATTTATGCAAAAATCAAACACAAATCTAAATATGTAGTTTTCTAAGCAAAAATATTTAGGTAACTGTGCACGAAAAGTTCTGGAGCAACATCTGCCAAAATAGCGGCAGTCTCCACTTCCTGCGGGAGGACAGGAGGTGGGAATGAAATTCACTTGCGTGGGTTTGAATTTTTTTTTTTTTTTTTTGAGGGGTTACGTTTGTATCTCTCTCTCTTATATTGGCACCCAGAAGAAAAACACAAAAATTTGTGAACAGTACGCTTTTGAAAAAGAATTCGAGCAATTTAACAACGTAAAGGAAAAGCCAGCGCCTGCCTCCTGCCCTCACCTCCTCCTCCAAGGGGCCCTGGCTTTTCCTTTTCGCCAACCAGGACTGACCCCCGTCAGACTCCCTGAGCGCCCCCAACTCAGGCCAGTCCCAGCCTGAGCCCCCAGGCCCGGCGTAGGAAGCTGGGCCAGGACTCGGCCCGGGAGGGGCCACCTCGGCCGGCTCTGACCGGGCGCCTGCCACCGCCCCCCCGCGTCCCCGTTTTGCCAAATACGCCCGAATGTGGGGCGCCGGGTCCCAGAGGCTGCTAGGAGGCCAGCTCTGACAGGACGGGCTGGCTCTCCGCCCTTCCCCCCGACCGCTGTCACTGTGTCTCACCGGCCATGTGACCCGGCAAATGTGTGAACTCAGGATAAGCCATTTTTAAGCGTGTCTTTCATCTTGAAACATGGAGTGGAGGAGACAAATGTGTTGTTCTCCCTTCGGCTTCATTACCATGTGGGTGTGTTTGACCTTCAGCCTGGTCAGCGTCAACGAAGGACGGCCTCGGGCTTCTCTTACTCAGAAGTTGGCCAGTCCAGCCACTGCCTGTCCTTGCTGATAAAGGCTTATTGTCGCACAGCCAGCTCACATGCCGCACACGGACATCTCCGCGCTGCAGAGCTCCTGACGGCAGAGATGAGTAGTTGCACCGCGTTTGCTCTTGCCATTTACAGAACACATTTGCCGAGGCTGTTCTGGAACATTCCCTACAGCAACGGTAGTCTCTGACGGTCGCCCCGAGTTGTGTGTAATTGTGTGCATGTTTAGCATCCTCAACGGATATGTGTGCGGAGGGTTTCAGGTGCCCTGGGACTTTAATTTCTGCTCTAAAGACCTTTGAACAACTATCATTCACTGTTAAAAGTCAGAAAGTGTAACTAAACAAAAAGAAGGTTTTAAAAAACCGCCCTGGCCTCCTCCTCCCTCCAGCAGGTGCTTCTCTCCAAACCCAGCTACACACAGCAACACGCAGATGTCCGCTGCGAGTCGCGCCTTGCACCCCGGGGAACGCTCCTTCCGTTGTCTGCACGCGGTTCCGGGGTCGGAGTGACGCGCTCCGTCCTGCCATCACTCAGGTTATTTTTGACCTTTGCTTTTTTGCAAAATTTAAATCTTGAAATAATAATAATGTTCTTTTCCTAAATTTAAAATCTAAAGCCTTAAGAATTCACTGAACCAGTTTTCTCATAAAAGCATTTATTCTTTGGAAAAAAATGCGACAGAGGAGACATTACTATTTTGTTGGCTTTATTTAAAAAAAAAAAAAAACCCTCTGCTAAATACGGGACTGCCTGTGTCTGTGGCTGTTCCTCCGCGTGGCCGCGTGCGAACAGGCTGTGCGGTATTTCACTCTTGCGCGTGATGTGCCCGTCAGCTTCGGAGAGACCCCTCTCTTGTTCATCCCAAATGAAGACAAATTCAAGATGGAAAGTAAGAAAAACATAACTTACTTTTGTTAATTATACTTCCACTATACTTCTTTATTAGAGGCCAAGATGATTAAAAAAGGAAAAAGGTGGTATATGAT